ACAGCTATGTCCCATAATTGGTCCACATCGGTGATTCCGAAAGCTTTTTGGCGAGAAAAGAGCGTGTGCAGGTCGTTATATTAAGAATTGAGGAACTAATTCGCATGTATGTAGACTGATGCACAGACAGATGCGAGACGTTAGATCGATTTTATAAGGCCTCCAAAGTATCCTCCTGGGTGTTACAAACTTCGTGGCGAACTTAATATAACCATTTCATAGTATAAAAATAATTTTTTATGTAATCAAATTTATGTATGTACATACTTCAAAACAACATTAATTTTTGACAAAAATGTAAGCTTATATTTTTAATTTAAGTAGTAATTTGATTAATTAGCTTTTCCTAAATTTTATATTATCGGGCTACGAAAAATAATTGTTATATGTATTTTATATTATCGTTGACTTTTTAAAATTTGTATACAAATATATTTCTGTAGGTTGTGCTGAAATATTATCCGGGACATGAAGTTGATACCGGTCGCATTGGTTTGACTATTGTTCTTGCAGGCATGATCGGCTCTGTTGTAAGCGGTGTAGTCCTGGACCAAATGCGCAAATTTAAGTAATTACAAAATAATATTTATTATTTTGCGAATTTATATTTATTTGATTATCTTGAAATTATTTTTACAGAGAAACCACCTTGGCTGTCTATGCTTTCTCTATGGTTGGCATGTGGGTATTTACATTTACCTTAGATACGGGTCATATCGCTGTGGTCTATGTGACGGCTGGACTTTTGGGGTAAGTAATGGAGAAAGAACATCTTATACAAATTTATTTTATGAATTTTGTATTCGAATATGTTCTTGATATCTTTTAGAGATCAGTATTTATGTTCTTTACAAATCCTCAGAGCATTGCCATATTAAATATCACTTTTTATATTACTAGCACACCATTAAGATATCGGAAAACTACTTGTAAAGCAATAAATGTCAAATATCAGTGAATGCTTCTTTTTGAACGTACATTTATTCAGTTAACTCGATTCACTAATGTCCTTCCTATCATGGACATATTCCGCGAAAAGTTCTTTAAAATTTTATCATTATCTGAATTCACCCGAGAATTTTTGTAATTCATTCCTGCATCTAATAATACCATGGCGAACTTAATATAATTTGCTTTGAGCTCTATTGATTCGTCTGGACCAATATTGTCTATATGCTTCTTTATATTAGAATTTTTTTTATTTTAACCTTGAGCTTCTCATCCGGTTCGAAAAATCGAATGTTTGATTTGCCTATATGCATCTTTGTACAGAACTTTCCTTATTTCTTCGAGTCGGATAAAAAGCTCGAGCCAAAAAGTTCAATACAATTTCTTCTAACTGCCGTCCCTAAAAAACGGCATCGGCAAAAATATATCATGTATTGTTGATAAGTGATTGAAAGTATTAATTTTCAAAATTGATACAGATAAAAAGTTAAAAAAATACCGACTAAAGATTTTTTTAATCTTGAAACTTAGATTTTTTACTATTGGTTTTATTATTAACAATTGAATTTATTCGATTTTTTCAGCTTCTTCATGACCGGCTATTTGCCTGTTGGTTTCGAGTTCGCCGCAGAACTTACATATCCTGAGCCAGAAGGTACTTCGTCCGGTTTGCTTAATGCAGCTGCCCAAGTATTTGGTATTGGATTCACGTCTCTATATTCAGAATTATTCTATACCTACGGAGATATTCCAGCCGATGTTTTCATGTCTATTATGTTAGTATTAGGCACATTAATTACTGGGTTCATAAAACCGGATTTGAAAAGGCAAAATGCAAATCAAGAAAATGCAGCGCCAGAATTCAGAGTTTCCGCCGAATCGGTGCAAGTGCAGTCTTCAGATGTTATCATCATACCATCTGAGAAGCTAAAGGACATTAGTATGTAGAAATATTTATTTGCCTTTATTATATAATGGTAAACCAGCACCTGAAGTTGATCTTCACATATTTGCAAGCTTTAACGATGTATTTGTTCGTCTTTCAAAAAGACAAATTTTAAAATGAAAGGATGTGTCTGTTCCGAAATATAAACGAGTAAAATGTATGTATATTTGTTTGTAAGTTTAATGCGTATTTAAGTGTTAAATTAGTTTTAAAAATAAAATAATAGAACAGATTAAATATTGGTTGATAATAATATTGTTAGTAAAACACGTTTGTTTTTTTAGGCTATTCGGCGATATTTTCTCATCAGCGAGCATACTTTTGAAATCTGAGAACAGGAAATAGTCGCTGAGGGCCAGATCTGTACAATATGTAATGTAGAATAAACAATTCTAAGCCAAATTCATGGAAATTTTCCATCGTTTTCATGGACTTGTAACATGGTGCGTTGTCTTAGCGAAAGAGCACTTTCTTTTTCTACAAGTGCGTCTGCTTTTCGGCGCTTTTTTTCCTTCACACGGTACAATAATGCTATGTAACAAGCGCTGTTGATGGTCTTACGTTTTTTGATTTTTCATCGATAACAAGCTCTTTTGGGCGTTTAACGTTTTCGCTGTGAACTTAACATACAAACCCTTGATGGCTGATTTTCCTGGAGCAGTGTCCAGAAACTCGCCATCAAGCCAAGTTTTTGCTTCAACTGTATTTTTCCTTTCATCATTATTTTATCAACACGAGAAATTCATTTTTGTCAATTTGTTTTCACAACAACAAAAGTCGTTTTACGCAAAATGATATAATTTACAAACCAATAATCCGACAGATGTCAGATTTGTACACCCGCCTTTAGAAGGTTAGGGCCAACTAAGAATGATATGGATTTTATTCTAGTAGCGCCAAGAGGAGGGCAAATGTTTAACCGTTAACCGAAGACATCCAGAAATATCCTGTAATTGTGCGGAGTGTAATGCTTTAACACGACTGAAGCTTCTTCGTCTGCGATTCACTACATCAAGGAGAACATAAGAGTGCGGCATAGTTTCTGACCCCTCGACGGATTACCTTGTGCCAACAACCTTACTTTGTTTTTTTCTCTCGAGCTGCCGGCTCTCGACTTCAGGATATTGTTGCGGTTATGTACTTTGCCAGTTATCGCAAACGTATGAAGAGTATAGGAGCACATGCAACGATAAAGGTCGGATATATAACCGTTTATTTTTGAGCACATGCCATTGATTTCATTATCTGACGTCGATATGTGTATGCCTTAAAGGAGTTTCAAAATGTGGAAGTTAAACAGTAATTAGGAGGGAGACACCACCCTTCAGAACCTAGCGGTTAAATTCTTCTTAATTTAGAAATTTGACCTAAAAATGAACAGTTCGAGAGGCTCTAGTAGCGTTGTATGATTGACTTTATCAAAAGCTTTTGACAAGTCCAACGCTACGAACGCTGGGTGGTTTTTAATTCATGTCATGAATATCTAGGCGTTTATGGCGCTAAGTGCTGTGCACTTTGCGAAAGCCATATTGATGGTTAACTACACTCAGATGGTAAGTGAAGGCCTCAAGTACCATCACTATCGGGGCGCTTTTCCTAGATTTCATAAGCTGGGCCACCAAAGGATTTTCATGAAGGTAGGTGCAAAGTGAATTGCAGGTCAAAATAGTTTGCGCACTTCTTTGGGTCCGAGAAGGCGTGGCCATCGAATTGATTTTTAACCCAATCGACATAACTTTTCGAATAAGACAAGTACTTCACAGTAGTCCAAGTTGATATAAATTATTCGGGTTTCAGAATCGGCTTGACGTAAGATGTCGCGGTCGTTTGCTAGAAAAACAGATGTCCACAATTCTTCCAGACGGAATAAAATAAGTGGTAACTTCTCCAATCACCTTGCTGAATTGATGTTCGCAAACGACTACGTCCGTAGAAATGTTCTCATTAAATTCTGTGAAGCCAAGCCATTTCGTTTTTGTTAAACAAGGTGCGGTAGTCCAGAGAAAAAATTCGAGAGTTTTCCCGATCGAGATAATTATGTTCAGATAGTCTGATGCAAAGATTAGCATAGGTCGCCACGTTATGCTATTTATCAGACCACCACTTGCGATGATAACATCCGGCGAGCTATTACAAATACCCATAATTCTGGTAAACGCTTTGCATTTATTGTGCAGAATGTCTAATGGTCTATCTATTCCACGAACTCCACCCCATTACGATCATTTGACATGCACAAGTGCCAAAGATCGTGGTGCGAATTAAAATCGAATCGAATCGCTTAGTACCAAACGATTTTCTCCACTAAATACCTCTGTTCAGGTGATATCCTGATGGACAACTACTTACTGGGGTATGCATATGTACATATTAGATTTTTCGAACTCGACATTGCCTAACCAGATAGCATTATAACATTCAAGAGTAGTATCAATGCATTCGAGATAGCGACTACGACCACCTTTATTCCAAAAAAATAAACAAAACAAGAAAACAAGTCGTGAGGAAAAAAATGTGTAATGATATGTCTACAAACGAGACACACCTTTTTCGTTTTACTTTGTCTGCACAGCGATGTGAAAGCATTCACTTTATATGTATATCCAAAAATTCATAAATTTACCGGAAAGCAAATATGATCAATGATAAAGGTAACATCTCCAATAATATATCAACGAATGATTTTTGTCAATTGAAACATTTTTTATATAGTACGTTTACATTATTTTATAAAAACTTTTTATATAAGATAAAGAATTTATAGTTATAAACATAAATTTTATTAATTGTTAATATAAATAAGTTCATACATATAAAATAGTGTAAGTTATACATATATCCGTATATGTGTGACAAATAATATACGATTCAATACTTAACGATTTAAAACAGTAAAGGACAAGTAGCTGTTTGCATAAAACTAAGCGTAGATAATTTGTTAGTTTTCCGACATTTTCAGATAAACAGTACGTAGCAGCAATATAAAAATTTTCTTTATACGAAATATAAAGATAGAAATATATAATCATAATACTAATAATACCTATCAACCATTAGAAAACTTACTGAATGTTTAAAAAGTGAAAGTGCATAACACCATTTAAAATCCTCCGCAATATACATATTTTATATTTTTATCATCATTGTAGCACTAGTATTACCAAATTGAATCCGATCTTTTCTATTCAATTTTGATTAAACATTTTAAAGTAGACCTCGGAAAAGTTAATAAAATAAAATATATGAACGAAAATTGATGTCCTCAAAATTTATATTCTAATAAATATTTATGATTCGTAATTTGAAGTCAACAATTACTAGTTGATAATATATCATCACTGCGGCGGTCCCCAAGCACGCAGCAACAGTAAGACTTTATTGAAGTAAGCACACCAAAGTTCTCGCTCTTCTCTCGTATCAGCTGAAAGCAGGTATCTCACAATTGTGTTGCGGCCATTTGGAACAATAATGAGTGATTCTACGTCTGTTTCTTTTGCGGGTCGCTCGAATTCGAGCAACATTGTGTTAAGACGAGCACATATGTCACGAGGCGCTACGGTTACTTTCTGTGTATGACAAGCATACAAATCGATGGTGCCGATAGGCGTTTTTTTACGCTCATCATCTGGGTACTTCCAATAATTAAGTACACTTCCATTTAAATAACACCAGCGCCGATGCCAAGCCCCGAAACCAGAAATGTCTTCAAACATAGTTAGAAAACCGCGATGTTCCACCAAAACAGATAATTCACAATTAGCTTTCATATGCACAACTCCTTCCAACGGACTTACACCAAGAACCTATATTGTAAATTTAATAAAAGTAGAAATGAGAAAAATATTGCAACAATGCAAATCAGCCATACTTGTGTTAAGGTCCATGAGGTCCGCTGTATCTCACGTAAAGAAAATATGGCAAAACCATATTGCACCAATACCGGAGTGCGCACAACGTTTGGCCCCGCAGGTCTTTGTACTGGAGGCATAACTAAGCGATTTTCACTACCCTTCTTTTTAGGGGTTTTTATGCCACATTTTTTATTCAAATTAATATGATATTTTACTTCGTGGGGCAAAACTTCTCGCTGGGCAGTCATACCGTAAATTTCTAGGGTAATCTAGATGTTTACATAGCAAAGACATGGATAAAATAATATAAAATTTTAACAATGAATGACGATCATACAACATACCCTAAAATCTGCATAAACGTTATTCATTATCAAAACATCAGGGAATTTAACGGCTAGAAGGCCAGGAAGAGTGGGTACTGTCTTTGTGGCCAAAACATATTCATTGTACTTCAGTAAACAAACCAAATGATGGCCGGAAATGGTGTCCGCAGCTAGTTTGCGTATGTAATCTTGTCGTAATGGTATAGTTATTTCCTTAACTGTAAGGCGACCTTTATCTCGTAAAGAACCTGTTGGGCGCAGGCACTTCTCTACTCGTAAACGTTGTACTTCATCTAAACAGGCCTGACGGCGATGAGCTGTAAATGAGAACATTTTTAAATATTCTTAAAAATTACAAAAAAAAAAAAAAAATAAATAAAATAAAAATAGCTACAACAACTAGCTTACTTGCTACAAGTAAATGTCGCTCGCCCTCAACCGACTCTGTTGATCCCGAAAATTCAATAGTAGCAGCACATAAGTTCAATGCTTGACTAGTTTGTGCAATCACCGTCTGCTGTTTACATACTTCGTCCAGTAGTTTTTTGATTTTTTCTTCCACTAAGTGAGTATCATCTGTATATATTTCATCTTGTAAAGTATTAATTTGTGTCTCAACTTCCTCAACAAGGTACGTTTCATCGTTTTTGAATTCTTTTATATTATTTTTATGCTCAATTTTCAGTGCTGCAGAGGTAGCGTTACTGATATCGGAGCGTAAGATCTTCCTTTCTTTACTCACCTTTCGAATTGGAGTAGAATTAGCGCTCTGTAAGGAAAGTAAATGGTAGATTTATGAATATAATTTAATAAGTGTTCCTTGCCCATGCACGAATGACCCTAGATTTCTAGGAAAATAAAAAAAATATAATCACATTATCGCTCTGTTGGCGTCTGTAAAAACTGACTGTATGTACCAAGGTGACCATATTGTTTTCGTTTTCGCGATTGATACTCATTTCAGATTTGACCGGTTGTGTCACGTACAAAGAGGGTGCTGAATTTAGAATTGGTGATATCTTATTTTCTTCTGTTGCAATTTTATAATTTTCATCTTTTTTTGTTGATTTATGAAAAGAAAAGCTATTGGAAGCAGTTGTCCCTTTATTCTAAAGATTAAACAATTTGTTAAATAAAAACGTTGATTGTTGGAAAATACTTGCTTCTTTTGACAGATGAATTATACTTCCAGATTCATTCGCATAATCACAGCTTCCCTGTGTGTCGTCATCAATGCCATCTTCTTTCAAAGCTTCATCTAAGTAATCATTAATACCCAATGAAGTTTCAGAAGAATTCAATGAGCTATCTTCACAACCAAAATATTCGTTATCACCACAAGGTTTCTGCTATTTCAATAAACGAACTTTAATTTAAAGCTTTTATGAAAATTTTATTTCGTCAAAATACAAACCTCCATTTGTTTTTCTTGCTGATGTTTTTTTTGGTGATCATCATTCTTTTGTACAGCATGCATTATCTCACGCCCCAAACTGATGTTGCAGATGTCTATGCTGCTGTCATCTGCGTCCTCTGAATACATGTCACTATAAGTAATAACGTAATATTATAAATAGAAAAGAAATGCAAAATTTCAATTTATCTAAAGTTTATTAGTTGAAAATTATATTGATCCTATTTTGTATTAAATTATTAGCTAATATTTGTAAAGCAAACTTTTTAGTTATCTGATGTTCATTCAATACACATCAAACATAGCAAACATGAATAAAGACGATCAGCCCACCTTCCATCTCCATTCATACTATCTAAGTCGCTAGTTTCATGTTTTTTAGTTAGAATCTGACTATGTTCATCATCGGTACTGTGGTCAGACATAATTGCAGTAGTGGCACCACTACCACTATTCGATTCCAATGCCAAGTTTCTGGATTCCAAATTTGATAGTGCCGGATACAGACGACTTACAGCAGTTTTGCATGCGCGTTTGGTTTCCTCGTCAGTAACTTCGCTAGCTGCAAATAAGAGAACAATTTTAAGTTTTACAGAAATGAAATTAAATCAAAAATTAATGTTCTCACGAGAATGCCGTTTGTTTTTCATAGTCAAACTTTCTTTGGGCATCGGAGGTGGTGGTGGTGGTGACGGGGGATGTGGGATAGTGGTATTTTTCGTATTATGAAAATTAAGCAATGTTTCTTTAGTTCCAGATGCCTCCAATATGTTCCCTTTGCTTTCATTTATATATTTTTGTTTGTGAAAACGATTTGCAATAACTTGCATATCATTTTTACGTTGCTTTTGTATATCAGATTTTATTTTGATCTCTGCCATGGTGGATGTGTTTGAAACAAGCGCAGCTACTTTTTCACGCAATTTACTTTCGTTGCTGGGTTTCGATGATTTCAAATTTTCATTAGTGAACAAAATGTCGGCGTTAGTTGCTGTAACATATAAAATAATTATTAGATATTATATATTATTATCTTCTTTTGTCACCTTTGGCACCATCTCCTCTATGTTGCACAATGTGCTCATTATGAATTTTGCTTATAGGCGGAGCCATTCCGAGAGCAGCTTTCGGAATAAGGGCTTCCCCTTTATTCCGTTCAAATAATTGCATACGTTCCTTAAGAGACAATTCTGTCGGATCTTTTTGTGGCCTTTGTGCTTCTTGACAAGCGCTAACTTTTTTCTCAAAGGCTGCCGTTCGTCCAGAAACTAAACCAATATTAACATTTGAGAATTTATGTTCCTTACGGTCAACCATACTACATTTATCCCCCAAAATTTTTGAAAATGTGCTGGCCAACTTAGCCACTTTAGGCTGATGTGGAGCATCTTTTATATCATCATCTCCTTGTGTTTCTATCGACTTACTTTTTTCATCTTTTGTGTAGTCATAAGCAAGTTTCACAACAGATGATTTACGTCTTTGAAATCCCTGGGCTTCAAGTGAATTAAACAACAGGGGATCCCATGTCAATTGTTTTGTGTTACATGGCGGTTTTGTGGTATTCCCTGTTTTTTTTTCCTTCGATGGCAACTTCTCTGATGTTGTGTGTTCATGTCCCTCTTTACATGTATTGTTTGAAAATTTCGTACCTTGTAAAGTAGTTACCGGTACATTTGAAATTTTTCTACTTGGTAAATCTGGCTTAGGTGGCGGTAGTAAACTTGGTGGATGCGGGTCGTGGTGAGAAGTGTCATCTTCCCACTGATTGATAGAACTCGCAAGTTCGACTAATTTTCCTAAACGTTGTTTAGAACGTTTAGTACTTTTCCCGTCACATTCATCAACAGGAGAATAAGAATGGAAATCCCCCTCAGTTCGGTGTATTGGCGATGAAAGGTCATTGGGGTTTGCATAAAGTGCACCAAGGCGCTGTAAACAGCTTCGTGAAGTATTTCGTATTTTAGATGTCGTTTGTTCCAATGCTGTTTTAATGTGGCTGACATCATTATTGACAATATTTTGCTCTTCTACTTGGACTTCAACCTAATAAAAAATAATTTTAATATCCAATAATTTTCGTAGATCTTTAGCAATTACCTCCATGTTTTTATTTGTCACTATATTGATTTCAATTCCTAAATCCATATTTTCTTTATTCACCGCCGAAAACTGACGGTGAACTTTTTGCTCCGTATTTGAAAAACTCGCTGTATTATTAACAACCTTTTCAATAACTTCCAACTTATTGCAATTTAAACCATTTTCATTTTTTGCGCTGGTTCCTTTATGTGATGTAGCTTGCAAAGATGCCGCTACGGCAGGCTGAACAGTTATCTGCTGTGTTTGGAATGTTTGTTTTTGTTGAGTTCCATTTTCCACATTTCCGACTTTGATGGATTTCTCAATGTTAAACTCTCCCGCACTCTCGACACGGGGATGTTTACTTGCCTTACTTATACCTAAAAGTCTACTACGTTGTTCTGCCTTTTCAAGAATTCGCTTAAGTTGTGCATTTATGTACAATTTAAAATAATTAGTTATTGAAATTATATACATTACTTTAATACACACGAGTAATTTACCTGGGTAAAAGGATCCATTTTTCGTACGACTTTAATTATTTAAATCAAAATAATTTTATTTCACAAATGTCACCAATTACAGTATCTTTGCTATCCACCACAAGTTTATTCCTGCTGATGATTCTTTGATTGATTAAAATATCTTAGCCAACGTAATAAATCCAACCGAAGCTTATTAAAATCGACGTTGATGATTGCTGCTGACGGCTTTTTGAATTATATCTATTCAGCATAATTCAGCAAACCAACTTTCTTCGGAATTATAAAGGTTGCCAAGCATGTCATTCAGAAAACTTTAGTGTTATGAAATAATATAAATTGAACACCAAAATTCTCTTTATAGATTGCTTCTCACTTATCTATGAAACACGTTATACTTTTGACTACTGGTTTTATTATTATTATTATAATGGAACTATTACATCACTTGTACGTATTATTAAAGACTTAGTAAACCAATTGACTGAATTCAGAACAAGAGCCTATTGAGTATTTTAATCGTTTCAGCAACAATAGTTATCGATATTTAATAATAAAATTTCCCTGGACATCTGCAATAATCAGCTGTTTAATACTAGTTTTATTAAGAAGGGTAACGAAATTAGATTAATTAAAAATGTGTTCGCCGTTTGTTCGTGGCTTTTCCATATTTGCATTAATAAAGAATCCGCCAAAAAATGCACTAGGTGGGAATAGTTTGGTGGATAAGTTGGCAATTACGAACGACGGGGCCGTTTGTGTTGCATGGCATCCTGATTCAGATTTTCCATATGAAAGCTCCAAACCAATTCCATATGCCATCAATGACCAGAATAAAACATTAATCGCAGACAAACTCAATGAAAATACAATTAGTGCTTTCAAAACCAAAACACCGGAAATAGCTCGTCAGGAGCTTATGCAACTCACTTTTACTACAAAGCATCGTTGGTTCCCAAGATCACGCGATAAGCGTGCTAAGCGTACACCAATGGACCGGCCTTATTTGTAATAAATCCTTTAATTTAAGTTATTTGCTTTATTATTCAAATATATTGTACTAAAAATGTCTAATCTACACGACGTTTTTTTAATATGCTACCTAATATTGCCGATATGGTTGGCAGCTCCATATTAGTTTGCTGCCCAGTTGTTTGTTTCGTTTGTGCGAGGTTGCGGTGTTGAGGGAATGTGGGCATCAATTTTGGGTCACACGCTGTAAACAAAATGTCGCATTTTATTTGATAAATAAACTCTTAAATCATAATTACGCAATGGTGGTTCCTTAAAATAGCTGCTCTGCAAACATTCTTCCGCAGTAGCACGTTTTTTGGGATCATACATGAATAGGAAGTTTAATAGTCGTAATCCGGCTGCAGTCAAATATTGAAATTTTGGTTTTAAATTATTATAAGGTTGTTGTTTTAGTGTGAAATTTTCAAGTGCCGGCATTTTAAGAAATTCAGGCCAGATGTTTTCCGATGGAGTCCCAAGCAAATCTGTTATCAAATCTAATTGCCCAAGTTCTGTATTACCAGGTAGCAGCGGCTTATGAGATAAAAGTTCACCCAGGATGCACCCGACAGCCCACATATCCACAGCTGTTGTTTGGATTGGCGATCCCAATAATAATTCTGGTGAACGGTACCACAGAGTTACTACTTGTGGTGTCATAGTTGTAGATGGTTCACCATAAAGCCTAGCAAGACCAAAGTCAGCTATGTAAATAATTTAAAATTATTAATTAGCGCGCGATTACTACGACATACATATATACCTATTTTAACACACCCCTTGTCAGTCATTAACAAGTTAGACACTTTTAAGTCACGATGGATTATATATCTGGAATGCATATACTCCAATCCATGCAAAACTTGTAAAATAATACATTTCACTTCCGACTCTGAAAAAGGCTGCACCATATTGTCGAGTAATGATGCCAAGTCCTGTTCACAGTACTCCATTACAAGAAATATGCTTTCCGAAAGTTTAATAAATAAGTATAATTATAACATTTTAGAAAATATTTACCTTTCTAAGCTTTTGCCTACTACTACATCAATGAGATTTACAATATTTTCATGGTTACAAGCTTTCAGAATCATTATTTCTCGTAATCCGCTGATAGGTAAACCATCTTTTTCTTGATCCATTCGTACTTTTTTTAAAGCAACTATACTATTTGTTCGAGAATCTCTGGCCCGATCTGTGAAACAAAATTCAAATAGCACGTCCTTCTATTTATATGTTTATTATACTTACAAACTATACCGTAAGTGCCTTCCCCAATGCGATTTAATTTTTCAAAATCAGTAACTGCACGACATCGTCCATGCTGCATAAAAGATCGCATTGTTATCATGCTTAAATTAATTTAAAATATAAACAAACCACATCGCAATCCTTTATATCAATAGGTTCCCCGCTCTTTATAGATATCAAGTAACCTTTTCTGGTTACCGGAGCTTGAGGATCTAAGGATTTTAGGTGCTCGACAGCTTCCGACATCTTTGTGTGTTTTGTAATAAAAGAAAACTCTATTGACATTAAGTGTCTACAATACAACAATATATTTTTATACTTTTATGTTGACCATGGTACAAGGGAGTAGAGAAAGTCCCATTCACCGTAGAAAAATAGCCATTCACAGTCCTTAACCTACCTCACAAGCAGAGAACGTCTATCATATACTACTGTAAATTTATAATTTTATATTAAAGCATTTTTGCTTTACGCAGCCCGTTTTAACCTCTCGCCACCCTTATCACCAGAGGTGGCCATGATGTTTTTATTATGAACGTACACTTGTGACAGAGAACGTCTATGATAGACATGGCTATTATAATTATCTCTTGATTTATCTTACATTAAAATTGTGGTTTACTGTTTAGACGAATTAGTATGATATGTAATAATAAATTTCCAATTGGAAATTGGAAATTATTTTTGATAATGAGTGGACCAAAAGAGATAACTATTGTCGAAAAATTT